AGTAAATGATTAGAACATGCGTGGCAACGGTATTCTAGAGGGGGAAAAAAAAAAAAAATTAAAAAGTAAAAAAAAAAAAAAAAAGAATATAATTATTGCTGTAAAGGGTAAGTTATGCAAACAAACAATGGTGTTTAATCCATTTAAACTTAAAAGTTTTTTATTTTAATTTTATGTGTATGAGTATATTGTTTGCATGTTTGTTAAGTGCACCCATGTCGTGCAGTGCCTGAGGAGGACAGAAAAGGGCATCAGATTCCCCCGGCTACTGGAGTTACCGATAGTTGTTAGCCACACTGTGTGTGTCGGGGGGTGGGGGGTGCTGGGATCCTGGATCCTCTACAAGAGCAGTCAGTGCTCTTAACCACTGAGCCAGCTCTTCAGCTCTCAGAAAATAAAACTGCCTTTCTACTAAAAACTACTAACTTATCACGTAAGCTTTGCAGTAGTTTATCTTCATTGTCAATTTGATTAAATTTAGAATCACCTAAATGAGATCCCTATCTGTGAGGACATTTCAAAAGAGGGATAACTGGGGAGGGAAGTCTTGCCATGAATGTGGACAGAACCATCCCAAGGCTGGGGTCTTGGACTAAATCAAAAACGGAAAAGGAAAAAGCCTGGCGAGCACTAGGATTCCTCTTTCTCTCCTTCCTAGTTTACCCAGATGCAAGCAAGGTTCTGCTACCACAGCTGCAAGTCAATTCTGCCACCGCACATCCCTGCCAAAACAGACCAAGCCTTAAAAACATGAGCCAGAATAAACCCTTTCCCTTAACTTACTTCTACAGGTGTTTGGTATTGAGATTGTAGGACCCTGAGACCCTCTTCATTCACCCGCTACCCCCCAATCCCTCCAGACCCCCACTAATTGCTCTTTTAGCTTCTGTAAAATGCTTGGCTGCTGCTTTAGACATGCCTAGATATGCCCTGGCATGCCCTGACCCCTGCCTGCTATCCCCCCCACTTCCAGGAAACTATAGATTAAGCAAGCCTGGACATGAAAACTGCCCTATAAGATAAAAACGGAGACCCCTGGCCCCACAGATAACAGTCAGCACATTCCACTGCCCTGAGAATAGCACCTACCAATAAGAAACTTCCAGGGCTGCATCTTATACATCCAATCAGTTTAAAATTATGTTGGCGCACGCGGGCTCCTTGAACCAACCAAAATGTATCTTCGGTATCCCCCTCCTCTCTTTGTCTAAAACCTATAAAAGGCTCCACTCTCCCTTACTCCGGGCTCTCAGCACGGATCCGTTGAGTTGGTGAGGTCTGAGAGCCCGAGCTTAAGCCTGAATAAACCATAAACCTTTGCTTTTGCATTTTGGTGTGTTGGGCCCTTGGTGGTCTTTTTGGGGTCTGGTGGATGAGGTACAACAAGATGAAAAAAGTAACTAATACAGAAAACTGGCACGAGGTGTGGGAAGAAACCACTGCAAGGAACCTATGTTCTTAGGCCTTTGGAACTTAGGAGGGCTGTGGCAGGTTGGACCTGCAGGCTTAAGAAGCCCTAGAATACTCTAAGCTTTGAATAGGCTTTTCTAGAGGGAGTTTGGAAGACCAGAATGTCAAGAGAAATGTGAACAGTAACAGCCAGGCTCATGAGGGTAGGAAGGACTCTATTGTGAACTGGTCTAGAGACCATTCATATTTTATTCTGGCAAAAAAATCTAGCTGTATTCTGCCCATGCCCTGAAAACTCTTGAGTGCAACTGAATTCAAGAGTAATAGAGTAATCCATTTGGGGAGGAAGTTTCAAGAAGGCATAGCATTCAAACGTGTAATGGTTACTGCTTAGTTCTTGATCAGAGTTAAGGTGAAAGGGAGCAGAAAGATTTTTTTAGAAATGAAATTTGGCAAGGAATGGAGCCAGAGTAAGTTTAAAGTTGGTGTAGCCAAAATGGCTATAATTGTAAAAAACATTAGAGCCATTAGGAGAAATGTCAGACATTGGGACAATAAGAAAGGTCCATTTAGGGTAAGACCCCACCTTTTGAGAGCTCCAGAGTCTATCAATGCAAACTCCTTTAAAACTTGCATTTGAAAAGAAAAGCAACCCACTGAACCAAGACCATTCTTAGGTTCCAGTTGAAGGAGGGCTGGCAAGGGATGTGTTTTCTCGGGTTCAGCCTGGAAGGCAAACAGAGGCCAGGGCAGCTGTGGTTGAGGGGAGCCAGGTTATACTTTGAGCCGGCAACAGAGCTTTGCATCAACCACATTTTGCAGGCATGTAAGAACAAAGAGTGAGGGGCATCAAGGACGCTTGCACCAAAATTCTAGAAAATCACTAAGGTCAGACAATGTACATAGGGTCAGATTACCTGCATGGAATGCTGGGTTATACATGAAGCTGTGAAGGTGAAGCCTAAGTAGCAATGGACTCCAGGATACTGGAGATTCTAGAAATGTGGGATATTCACCAACAAAACCAGTAGGGCCTGAATAGAATCAGCCCAAGAGAGAAGCCACATGTACCCAAGACAACATAGCTTGAGGAGTGGAGCTACCCAAGTCCACTGGAGCACAGATGATGCTATTGTAAGCCCAAGATGTTGAGCATGGAGCTGCAGGGTTTAGTGTTTGTTGAGTTTTGACCTCGCTTTGGTTCAATCTTTCTCTACTAGTCTCTTGTTCCTTCTTTGTGGTGGAAATGTTTGCTCTGTACCATTTCATATGAAAAGTGCATAAATTTGAAAAATTTTTACAGGGGCTCACAGTTAAAAGATTAAGTCTCAGGGCAGAATTTGAACTAAGACTTTTGAAAAATGTTGGAATTATTAAGACTTAGGGGACTCTTGGAGATTAATTAAATGCATTTTGTATCATAAGACAGCTATGAGCCTTTGAGGGCCAGTAGTGTAATGTTTTCATTTAAAAGTTATCTGTTTGAGTGTTCAGTTGACAGGTAGTGAACTTATTATGCTTGATCTTAATTGCCAACTTGACTGAATTTAGAATGGCTCAGAAGATACAGCTCTGGGCATATCTGTGAGGTCATTTCCAGAGAAGTTTAACTGAGGAGGGAAGACACGCCCTGAACGTGGGCAGCACCATCCTGTAGGCTAGGATCTTGGACTGAATTTAAAAAGAACAAAAGAGAAGACCTGCTGAGCACTAGCATTCAACTCTCTCTGTCTCTTGATCTGCCCAATTGTGAACAAATTACTGCCACTATAACCACCCTGGCCAGGAAGGAAGATAGTCTAAAATGAGACACTGGTATTCCTCCCTTTAGTTGTTAAGACTATTGAGACAATGAACTCCAAGGAATTTGAATTTTCCCAGGAGTCTCACGCTGGCGGAAAGGAAAGGCTGAAGACCTGGTGCCAGTCAGAGGAGAACCTTGTTTCCCAGAAAGAGATTTTACATAGTTTTGACAACTTGCTGGACAGAACAAGAGAGAGACGCAATGATGAGTCAGTGTTGGATAGGACCACACCTTAACCAGGGCTGCTAAGTTTTAGATACACACCTTGCTCTTTACTAACCCTCATATCTATGAATATGAATATGGGGTCACTGAAATTATTTTTTTCTTCATCTCAATGTGACCACGTTGAATACATCTTTCCCTGCTTTTTTCACTATTACTTGTTGGGTTTTTTGTTTTTTTGTTTTGGGGGGTGGGGCTTTTTTTTTTTTTTTTGTCTTTTTGAGGGACTCCCTGTAGCCCCCAGCTGGCCTAGAACTCACAGACCTCTGCCTCCTGAGTGCTGGGATTAAAGGCATGTGTCACCACACCGAATTTACTTGTCCTTTTAATTGGTGTGGCAGCACCTAGCTTGATAGGGCTGACAAGGTCCAGGCTTGTATCCTAAAAGCTCCAATAACACTGCCTCACTGTGAGCTGATCCTGCCATTGTGAGTCCCCTGTCATGATGGAGTGTACTCTCAAACCACATGAAAGTCTCCAAAAGAACAAACCTCTTTCTTTAACGTCGCTTCTTATCAGGTATTTGGCCACAGAAATGAGAAAAGTAACTAACACAGGCGCAAGAATAGCTAAAGCAGGGTAAAACCCTGGCACGATTTTGTTTGTTTCCTTTCTTTGGCTCAGACTCCTGCCTGATTCTGCTTACCTACCCTATCTACTCCTTCAAGGCTGAAGACAGAGATAAGTCATTGTCTTTAACTTTTACTCTTGAGATACCTTAGCTTCCTGGAACTACAGAACTGATCCATAAACACTTTTATGACAGGGACTGACATTATCCCTAAGAAGCAAGCTTGCAGAACAGACCATCCCTAAGATGAGAATGATCATCTGTAATGGAGAGGCTGTACCCTGGAGATCATTTTCCAGGGGACTGGATGGGCAGCCCAGACTAGCTTGTTGGGGTTGTGGGGCCCAGGATTTTGCACTAAAAACTCCAGTTATAACTGTTGGAGTAAAGATAGATCAAGAAAAGTACTGAAACTCAGAGCTGTATCAAAGCAAGCTACTGTTTTTTCTGACACATTTTGCTTATGCAAGCACCAGCTCTACTGCCTGGCAGAGTTAGCTCTTAATACATATTCCTTGAATTCATGAATAAAATAATGAGTTGCAGAGGCCTATTTCAAGATGCCTGGCAGTTTCTGCTGCTTTATTTCACATCATCAATTTGCTTGAATGATTTCAACTATGTGGATCTACCAACCTCCCTCTGGGGGAAATGACATAACAGCACTGTGGAAAAAAAACCTAACAAGTCAAAGAGAAATGACATGCCCTCAGTCATGTGGTCCAAATGGTTGGACTGTTTCTATCTCATCCCAACCCCTAAAAAGGGAAGAGAGTCAGAGACATGCCAGCACTTAGAAAGGATGGAAGAGATATGGGCTGCCTACATCATTGGTGTGTTTGGACATGGTTATCACTCTGTCAACTTAGATATCCCAGGGAGCACCCAAGATGGTCAGGCAGGACTAGGGCAACAGAGGTTAGGGGGTGCTGGTTCCAGTCTCTGTGTTCCTCCCTGTGGAACAGAGCAACATTTTCTTGGCTGTAAAAATAAAGGACCTGAACCAGCTTGGTTCAGCACTCTGCATTCTATGGAGGCTTCTGTTCCACAGAGGTGCCTGAGATATCATGGAAGACCACAAGGCCTGGGATTCAAGGTTAGAACAAATCAGGATTAAAGGTCAGGCTCAGCACCTGCTTCCCAAGATCTAGAGAGTTCCCATTTCATTCTCTGTATCTGGCTTCCATCAAAGAAAGTGCTTTATATTTTATTATTTTGTGTGGTGTGTGTGTGTGTGTGTGTGTGTGTGTGTGTACACAACCACTTTTGTACCAGGGCACATTTGCAGATGTCAGAGGACATCTTTCATGAGTCAATTCTCTCTCTCTACCATGTGGCATTGAACTCAGGTCATTAGGCCTGGCAGCACACACCTTTACCTGATAAGCCATCATGCATCAGCCAAAGAAAGCCTTTTATATTGAAAGAAAGTCACTGAAGACTAAAGCTATGGGCTTTTTCTCTGTTTTGTTGTTTTTTCAAGATTATATTTTTATTAATTCTTTGGGAATTTCATACAATGAATTTCGATCATATTCACACTCCTCCTATGCCTCCCTTTAACTCCTCCGAGATCCACCATCCTGTTATTTTGAGACAGGATTTTATTATGGTACCCAGGCTGCTCTCAAGCACCCGGGTTCTAGTGATCCTCCCAGCTCACCCTCCTTAGCAGCTGGGAGTTTAGGTGCTTGCCTCCATGTCCTGCAAAGATTCAAAAATTTTTACAACTCACGTTTCTTCCAGCATTCATGTTCTCTGACCATGTACAATCCTTTCCCCTCCAACATCAGAAACTTCTCTCTGCACTGCAGCCAGCCTGGCAAGGCTGCTCTCTGGGAGAGAACAGGATCAGAGGGTGTAGCAGGGCTCTCCTACCTGTTTGTGCACCTTGGTGAGCTGCTCCAAGTTATTCTCTAGGAAAGAGATCTTCTGCTTCTGGGCAGCACTGCCCCCTCCATCATCGCTGTCCAGCTCCACACTCTGTATCCACAGCTAGTGGTTAATGATGTGACCTGCCACCCCATCCACCCAGCCAATGTACATGATGCATGCCAGCCTTCTTGAAAAAGAAAAATCCTCATCCCACTAAAGGAGCATCTGAGAGTGAAAATAAAGACACATTCTAAAAGTTTATATTCAGTGAACTTCCTGATCAATTTCCTTGCATTGCACTAAAAGTGTTGTGAGAAGGAGCTGTTTTAGAGTGCTGGAATAAAAATATCTTCAGATCTCCTTTTGCAAGCTCTACATATTTCTCTTTAATGAAATTTACCCCTCACTTGGAGATAAAGAGATTTTTCTTTTCAAAAGAAATCACCCACAACTTAGTAAGAAGAACCAGTGTGAGAATAAGCATAAGGCACGAGTTGAACTTCGCTATCAGGACCAGATAACAAATGGCCAAGCCTGTCAGTAAGCATCTGTGTTGCCACTGGGAACTCCTAATGGCTTCTGCTTGTCTCTCAAATATCCAACGCTAAGTAATTCCTCAGTGAGTCAGTCTCAACCTCGTCACAGCACCCAGGTGCTGGGAAAATCCTTCAAATTTATCAGATCTTGAAATTGGCAAAAACACAGCACTCCTGACAAGCTAGGTGGCAGAGATAAACTAGGAAATGCATGTGCAAACACATCCTGGAACTCGAGAACAGCAAAACATGTCTGCTTCATGTGATAACAGAAGACATCACCATCCTTCTCCCAAAGGGTAGTGGCTTCAAGCATCAATTCAGCCTTCAATAAGGTTTCTCAAACTTGAATCTGTATCAGGATCCCCAGGACACTTACTAAAACTCAGATTGCTGAGCCTACCCCAATTTCTGATTCCTCAGATCTGGGCTAGGGGTCCAAGATTTATATTCAAACAAATTCTCATATGATGTCAATATGACTAGTGATAGGACCACAGGCTGAACACCACTGACTCAAAAGTAGGTCATTTCTAGGGAACTTTATATAATGAAATCAAGGAAGTCTGATGTCAGCCTCTGAACCCTTCCTCTGACCAGAGCTTCCTTATGGACAAGCTTCCACTTCCCCCCACCAACTGAGTCTTCTCAGTGGTTGTTGTAAGCTCTTGTCAGGTTCCCTCCCTGTCTCATCTGTGCATCACCTCTACATTGGCCTCACCCTCCCATCTGGCCGAGGAAACATCTGTGGACGTTATAGATTGTGGACTAACCATCACCACTCAGGCTTTGAAATATCCCATGATTCCCTTCTTTCTTTATTTGCATCACCAAGATTCCAAACTTGCTAGAACCACACTGTCAGGTGCTGTGCCAAATGCACACTGTTTTCTGCTAGGCACGAATGCCACTGTTCAGCAACTCATCCCTAGCAGATTCAGTCCACAGCAGCCTGAATCTTCTCTCACCTCCTTGGGCTCCACTTTCTCTTCTCCACTGAGGACACCTGCCATCAGACAGTGGTTTCTTTCCAGTGTCCTGGGGTTTCCTGCAAATGCTTCCAGCCTGACTCTCTCATGCCTTCTGGGAAAATCCACGCTTTTTCCTTATGAAGTAGCCTATCCATTCCCACTGTTAACTCTGTACCTCTCAGACTTGATTCTATCAATTGCTCCTCTTTTTAGTGTATTTCACTTTTCCCCTTTGCTTCTTCTAAAACACCCATGTATGTGAGCACATGTGCATTCAATACTCAAATGTGTATACACCTTTACTAAACACATTTGCACATGCTTTCCTTAATACCTTCCTTTAATCGCGTCGTGCCTCTGCCATGACCTGTTGCTCCTTGTCCATCACTTCCAACACTGTAAATGAGTTGCCCTCTGGCTGCCTTCACTTCTTTTCCATTAACCTCTGTAAGCTGACCTGGAGAGTCACCAATGTGGAGACTCTCTAAGATCACTATGATTCTGAGAGCCTGCAAACTTGGATCCCAAACTATCCCTGACTCTCCCCAGCACTGCAATCTGGGACAAGACATTTAACACTCAAGCCTGCTGCCACACCTGCAACACAGGGGTACTAGTTCCTACTAGATGGAGGCTGGGAAAAACAAGATGCTGGGCATTAAAGCACCTCACAAACTGCCCTAGGCCCTCATGGCCTCCTGACAGACAACCATGAGGCTCTGGTTATCTTACTCCCACAGGCTGCAGGACCGTGCTACCTAATGACAAGAATGTTCTGGATTTGCCTGTGCCCACAGCAGCAGTTTTCACATAGCTAGGGCCAGATAAATATATGTTCATTTTAAATAAAGGCCAGGGACAGTATTATAACTTCTTTTTACTAAGAAGAAGAAAATCAGATGGGAAAATGTTCCCAAGTAATTTCTGCCTTGGGCACATTCTTTTAATAACATTCTCTGGCATGAAGTAATTAATTTTTAAGCATAACCAGCCCCAATTTAAGTAAGTGATATTTTGACTGAAAATGATTCTTCCTGGATGACTTTTCTGCTCAGACCTGTCCAGAAATAAAAGCACTCACCTTTTTTACCCGGGTGGTCAGATCTTGGACAAAGAGTTTGCGGAGATTATGAAGAGTCTGAAGCTCTCTAGACTGGAAGAGATTTTTGAAATGCAACTTCAGTGAGGGGATATGCTGAACTTGTGTCACGTTCACACCAGATCATGAATCCCAAACTTCTCTGCTTGGTCTGCCATTGATTCTACTGATGCCGTGGTTCCTCCTGTGACTTGCCTACCACAGCCTGTCCCACCCTTCAACCCACATTGCTGTCAGGAGCATCTGATGGTGCAGAAGACCCAGAACTCCAACTATGGGTAGGCCAGAATGCACCAGCTCCTGTCTTCTACCCTCAATACAAATACAAATTGCTAGTAAGTCATCTTGTATCTGAATGGATTCTTTTTTCCTTTTGTTTTCTTTTCACTTTCTGTGGAAGCATTATATGCAATATCAGCAGCACGCTTAAGTTACAAGTCACAATTCTTCTCACCCAACCCAGCTGACATTGCTCATGTCAATTCTCCTGGGACTGGAGTTATAGATGGTAGTTAGCTGCCATGTGGTTGCTGGGAATTGAACCTGGGTCCTCTGCAAGAGCCACGTAACCACTGAGCCATCTTTCTAGCCCCATGATTTCTTATCTTTAGCATGAAGAATAAAAAGAGTGGTTTTCTCATCACTGTAAGACTAAATTAGATGAGGGCTGGAGAGATGGCTCAGTGGTTAAAAGCACTGTCTATTCTTGCAGAGGATCGGGCTTGGTTCCCAGCACCTATCCTAACTCCAGTTCCAGGGAATCTAATGCCCTCTTCTGATCTCAATGGGCATTGTCCGACACAGGTGCACTTGCATACATGCAAGCAAAATACTCATACAAATAATAAATAAATATTTTTTAAAAAGATTAAATGAGGCTGGGTGTGGTGGTACAAGCCTTTAATCTAAGCACTCGGGAGGCAGAGGCAGGCGGATCTCTGTGAATTCAAGGCAAGCCTTATCTACATAGTAAGTTCCAGGCCAGCTGGGACAATAGGGACATCCTGTCTCAAAAAGACTAAAAAATAAAAAAGATTAAATGAAATGATCCTTAGGAAACACAACAGTTTCTGGCCCATAGTAAATGATCAGTAAAGATGGCTAATATGAATTACTGATGTATCATATTTCATTTCTAAGAGCTGGTAATTTTCCTGGAACACCTAAGAATCTGATTACTGAGGCAAAGCCTCAATCAAACCTGATAATCTTTGGTAACAAAACCAGAAGATTAAAACATTTCCTTCTATTAAAGTCTCCATATATTTTCTACAAGAGATGTTAGTTCCTTGCAAAATATTTTCCTATAAGGGGGGAGGACACAGGATCTTTTTAAGTGTTTTCATCTATCTAAAGTGACAGGATGCCAAGGGACGCATGCTCACATTAAAAATGAGTAAACAGGACCTAGAGCTAAGGAAACACTAAGTTTCTTGAAATAAGATTTTCTGTTAATTTAAGACTTTAATATTAGGTCCAATTCTGTGTGGAAATAAGAAATACCTGAAGTCAATTGCATCCTTGGATGAGGTAAATTACTTTCTGCAGGAAGCCAAATGGGTTTGTTATTATGAATAATGTGAACACAGTGCCATCTGGTTGAGCCACCACACAGTACAGGAGGAGCAGGGAGTGCAGCAGGAGCTCAAAATTATCCAGGCAGGCTGTCCCATACCTCTGCGAGAGGGAGCTTAGTTCTCAACACCCCTCAATGCCTACAAACGCCCTATATGCTGTCCTTCCAACTAACTCAGAGATCTTGTTACTGCCTACAGTGTGATCACAGTTAATATTTTCCCATGAAAAGGACCATCACACCAAAGAGAGGCAGGAAAGCATGGGACCTTGCCCAAAGGCCAGGAAGTGGGATACAAGTACCACAGAATATAGAGACTTGACTTTGGCCCCTTTTATTTTTAGGTAGTCTCAATAAACAATTTGGCAGGGGCAGTTAGAGGCATTGGGGGTACTTTACACTGCTGCATAATAATGTAAAGCTGCTGCCACTTGGCTTCTTGCAATGATAATCTTTCCTCTATCACATTCATAATTATTTTTCTACTCCCTCAATTACTTCCCTCAGCTATCTTCCCATCACAGGCAGCTGCGGTCTAAGCAAGAGCTCATGGCCCAGGTTCCTGTCTCGATGGACAGTGAGGGTGGCATTAGAGAGGTGGCCAGTGCAGCAGGAGGTGGGATCTAGAGGAAGTGGCCAGTGTCCTGTTGTAGCAAGTTGGCTATCTAGAGCCGAGGGACACCTGAATGGCCAGTCAGGCTTTCACGAGGTATTCTTAAGTTCCAACCTGTGGGCAGCATCCAAGCCTCAGTTTTCAAGGAGACAGGGCAGGTTCGTACCAGGAGGCCTGGAGAACAAAATGGGCAGCCAAGGACAGAGAGCCTATCTCTGAAAAATAATCTACGGCTCAGTTTGGGAGGAATCAAGGCTGAGGACAAACATCTGGTACAAAACAGCACATGCTGTAGGAATCCAATCCTGGATTGTGGGGAAAATGTGTGGGTGGAGAGGGAGAAAAGCAGAGGACAAGGAGCCACCATGTGAGGCTGGGTCTGTTCTTGTGCTGGGAATGGATGGACGTGTGTGAAAGTGGAGGGAAGCTTGTGAGAGAGTGTGTGTAGACACATCCAGATAATCATGGGAACGAGTGTGTGGGAGGGAAGGTGGGTTGGGAGGGAGGAAGTGGATGGTGGACAGTACTGAGGGAAAGGTGCCGCTTAAGGCCCATTCAAAAATTAAAGAAGGCAAAGGAACCAGCTATGTATCCTTTATCTATCATGTTCACAATGGACAAGAGCGAGAAGTCATATGTGTGAACATGTGAATGAGTCTTAATGGACGAGAACATAAGCGTCTACAAGAGCGACTGGTGTGAGCGTGTGTGTGTATGTGCCCACATGTGAATGTGTCGGGGAGTGTACCGAGAGCATGTGTACATACTGGGGTGTAAATGCGTATGATATGAAGAAGGGTATGAGTGAAGTTGAGTGTGAGCTTAAAGTGTGGGACAACTTGTGTAAATGAATAAAATGTGAGCAAATGAGAAAGTAAAATTGTTAGTGAGGATGCAAATGTGTGTGAGTGGTATAGGACTGTGTGCACGAGAATATCACCAGGACTTGTGGATGGACAGTCTGGGCATGTGGCCAAGCCCAGATGACAGTGGAGAGTGAGGCTGTGTGGGAACAGGTATGGCCTGCAGGACAACCTGGGTATGCAAATGTATGCACAAGCTGTGTGTGAGGGCAAGAGGGCGCATGAGTACAGGGGTACACAGGGGTACAAGCAGAGAACATCCTGAAGTATCATTCATCTCAGGCTGGTAGGCATATAGTAAAATTTCATTTTCAGTATTTCCTGAGATTCTGTAATTACGCTTAGTTATGGACAGCACCTCTCCAGTTAAACAGATGTCTATGAAGCAATCTCATGGCTTCATTTCCTGTTCCTCTACAGAGGTCCTCTCCACAGACTTTGCCTTTGAAAGGTCCAACTTCCTGTCAGCACAGGCATCTGACCTCTGTCCCAAAGGCTTGTGTCTTCATTCCTCTGCTGGCTCTGAGGAGCTGCATGTACTGGCATAGCAGCGAGTGCACAGCCTCTAGTCCAGAGAGGAATAGTCATCTGCTTAGTCTTGGTCTCCAGGTTGTTGGGAACAGCTCTGTCCCACAAAGAAGACGTGACACTTTAGTGGCATTGTGCCACAGCTCATGTAAACCTAAACACGTTATCACCAAATCGTGCTGATACTAGAATGGTATTGTGATAAGCCAGAACTGTGAGGTGTGACCACCTGAGCCAGGCCTCTGTCCTGCATGGCAGCTGAAACCCAAGCTAGCAGGGGAAGCCAATGAATGTAGGCACAAGACCGGAAAACCCAATAATGACTTCAAACACTGGGTCCTTCCAAAGGCTAGCTGACTTCCACTCTTCTCTCTGTCCCAAACCCTGTGGACCTCATGGGTCTCCCTGGCCTGCTCCTACTCTGGCCCTTTCCTCTCTGTGCCCACCCTGTACTCTTTCACAGTCACAGTCATGCCACATGGCACAAGCAGTCTGGAATTCCCCCTCCCTCTGCACACTCTCCCTCTTGGTTTACTTCTTCACTGCAACAAGCCCCTCCTTATGGGCTTCCGTTAGCTACCACCCTCTGCACTTTCTATTCCATCTAACAGAACAGTATTTCCCCATTATCTGCAGGGGACTCGTTCCAAGGCCTCTCCATACCTGAAGCCATTGGTATCCCCAAACTCTATATAGACTTTGCTTTTTTCCTATACACACATATTTAGGATAAAGTATAAATGTAATTTAGGCACAGTAACAGATTAACCATTACAACATAGAACAATCATAACAATATTGTATAATAAGTTATGTGAATATGGTATCTCTCAAAATATTTAACTCCTCATTTATCATCAGACCATGCTAGCTTTGGAAAACTGTAACTGTGAAAAGCAGACCTGTGGTCAGGGGCTGCTGTGCATGCTACCTCCTCTTTGTTTCAAGTTCATTTTTATTTTTTTGGTTTTTTGAGACAGGGTCTCTCATTATGTAGCCCTGGCTAACTAACAACTGCCCGTAACTCCAGTTCCAGAGGATATGATGCCCTCTTCTGACCTCTGTGGGCACTGCACAACACGGGTATGCTTACATGCAGGCAATACACTCATACACATAAAATAAAAACAATAAATAAAATGCAATAAATAAACAAATAAATAATTGTCTAAAGAGGAGTGGAAGTCAGAGTGGAAAGGCTGTAAAATTGGCAGCACTGGTTTACAAGGCAGTTCAATTCTTACTCAAGCATTTCAGGATTACAGCCCTAATGACTGACATAGATTAATTCTGTTGGAAAAATTCTACAAATCCCATTTTGCTACAGAATGCTTTATGTCTAAGATGATACACAGGAGAGATACATACAGATAACATTTTAGAATAAACAATTCAGCAGAACACAAACTAATCAGGTCTTTAAGCGTGAAGCCTTGGGAAACTGACTCACCACTGTCTCCTCCAGTCCCTTGAGGTCCTCCCTGGCTTGTTCCCTTTTATCATTGAGCAACCTGAGAGACAAAAAGAATCATGAGGCACCACAGGAGAACCAGAATGGGGCAGTGAGATTTGCACTGAAGGCAAATGAACAAGGCAAACCAAGGAACACAGAAAAAGCCATGCTGTTTTTAAAGAGCTGGATCTGGTCAGAATCTCTGGGTCCCTGAATCATAAAAGCAGTGTTCGTTAAGCCCTCTCAAGGATGAGAAAAGTCAGGAAATGTTAAAGTGCACTCACAGGAGCTTTTCCAGTTTCATTTCTCTCTCTTGGTCCTCTATTTTCAGCTTGTTATAATCAGAACTCAGCTTTTCTTGTTCCAGTTGCAGTTTCTGATTCAAACTGAAATTGAGAGGAAAAAGCAATATATTCCAAATCAGCCTCAACTTCTGAGTCATCCACCTAAAATCATGGTTCTGTTCCAGCCCTGATAGTTCTGTGCAATAAAGGCAGCAATTCGGGAGGATTTTGAGGGATCAGAGAACATCACAGCTTCTTCCCTGCCCAAGTGAAAACTAATTTCTAGGGAGCATCCAAGAACCATGAAACAAAGGCTTTAAGTGTGTATTTATAGTTTGCTTGCGTGCAGGCGCTTCAGAAGGGGAAATAATGGCATTAGAAAGAGCTGATGCTTCAAAACAGAGGGAGAAAACCCAGTTACACAAAGTTCGCTTCTATAACCACCCAGAGGGCAGCTGCTTACTCCAGTAACTCTATTTGGCCATTCTGACCCTCCTTCCCCCTTTGGGTATTCTGGGGGTATCGCCAAAGGCCAGGGGCTGGCTGACCCCTGGACAGTTCCTGATTGTAGGACCTTCAGACAGGAGTTAAGAAGAGCAGAGCCCTGGGCTTTGTGTAAACAGAAAGCCACCATCTGCCTGGGGGCATCTGGTCAACTTCTGTACCAGGCCAGTACTCATAAAACCCTTTGTAAGGCCGAGATCACAGGACTGTTTGGGGCAGTTTATTCACACGAAGGGAAACCAGAATCATTCAAGAGCCCAAGCCCAGAAAGCTCCCTACCTAGGAACTCTCGCTCTTCCCCTTCCTTTCCTCCCTCTTCTTCCCCTCTTCCAGCTGAAAATTTTGAGGGAGATTAATGAGAATCGTGTCCAGAAGCTCCAGGTAAGCTCCTATGGAGGGAGCTCAGAGGGAAAGGGGGGAAGGCACGGTACGGTGGACTCTGCACAGAGCCCACCACACCATTCAGACTCCTGGCTGCAGTTACTCTTCTTCAAGATGCAAATGCACTGTGCAAACAGCTCACATACAATGAAAAGATTTGGATCAGTAGTCTGGAGAATTAAACTCTTAACTCCAGTCTGATTCCTATTTAGCAATGTGACCTTAAGTAAATAATTCAACCTTGCTTCTCATATCTAATTCTTCATCTATAGAAAGTGGGAGGAGGAGAGAGCCTTGGCCTGATGGGGGAGGGGCAGCGGATGAAACTATTTCAGTAGAGATGTTTTCTTTGTAATAGAATGGTTTGGGGGAGGGGACATTTAAAAACATCCTTCTACAAAGGAGTTCAGAGACTGCCAAGGAGATCTACTCTGCAAGAGCATTAAAAACCCCCAGAAGAGGCTCCCTGGAAAACAGCTTTGCAGCTGGGTGACTTCTGCTGCAGATGAGGAGAGGGTGCTTTGAGCAGGGGTTCCCCAGAGGCTTGGACAAGGCAGGATGCAGCCATGAGGCAGAACCCTGAAGTTAAACTGCAATGATGCCATCCTGGTTTAACAGGGTACTGGCGACCGCATAAGCAGAGACACATGGAGGCATAGGCCCCTGAGGCATGCACACTGCTGGGCTGCCATGCTGACTGGCTTCTCTGGAGTGTTTATGAACCCCTAGGGAAGGGAAGGACCAGGCCTTTTTCTCCCCATACTCCTACATAGTCTCCCTCTCTCCTGGGGCATGTGTCTGCTAAACTGAGTCACTACTGAAGTGACCTTGCCCCGGGCTGGGGGTGGGAGTAACAAGACTGGAAAGCTGGGCCTGCCTGACACCTGCTATTCCAGAGCCCTAGGAGGCTGGGCTCCAGATGGGAGAACAGACTTCAGAAGCAGCATCACCAGGGTGGAACCCGGAGCCCAAGGGCCCTTGGCTAAAAGCCACAACCTTCAGGTCTGGCCTAAAAGGCCTGAGCATGCCCATTCACGCCCTACAAGCCCCTGGCCAACTCACTCCCGAATCTCATCAATGATTTTCTGCTTCTCTTCAATTTCATCTCGAAGTCTGGACAGCTGCTTCTGGTGAGCTTCCCGGTGACTCTCCATCTGCTGCTCCAGCTCCTTCTGCAAGCCAGGCCAGAAGAAATGTGTCATCCACTTGTTGGCACTCAGCCCACTCAGTGACAAATCCTAGATCCATGTCTACCTCCCTCAGATGTTAAATCCCCAAATTAAGGGTGTTTCTGGCTCTCGTGCCCAAGCTCCTGGCCTCATGTCATCTGTACAACAAAGCCCAGGGATCTGCTCTAAAACTGAATGGGCGCTGGGAGTCCAATAACTACACAGAAAGTTTGCGCTTACTTGACCTCTACCACTCACTGAACTACACAGTGTCCCTAGTCAGGTCAGCCAAAGGCACAGTTCTCGTACTACTTGAGTGACTTCAGTCAAGTCACATCACCCCTGTAAGAACACTTGCTCACCCGCGGAATCGAGGAATACCCACTCCCACCACAGATGTGTGGTGCATTCAGAAGAGACTTCCCCAAAGTACTGTGGAAACAGAGCAGGGCAGTGTTCCGCAGGTTGGAGCAGGGTCAAGCAGCACATTAGGCTCAGTGAGGCTCACGGCGTGCCTAAACTGACCAGAATTCCTTGTCATCTCTGTCTCATTTTATTCACTTAAAAGTCTTATTTCTCAGTTGTTCATCCTACATTTTCCTTTCTTGAGTTGAATGAGACGGGTGAAGATGTGTGTTTCTGATGAGAGAGCCTCTTAGTAAAGGTTGAGAACAGAGGAGAGGGTTCCTTCCACTCCAAGATAGAGAGGGAGGTGAACATTTCTTCAGAGGCTAACCCTGAGTGTGGCCCAGATGGTGACTGGGGTGCTGCCCTTACCCTCTTCTTCAGGAACACAAAGATACTAACGCAGCAGAACAGTAATCCTTGATGTTTCAGGTTTCCTGAACAGCCAGTGGTTTCCTCATGTCTATGCCGAGCCACATGAGAACCACTCTGAAGGCCTGGCTCCTCTCCCTCCTATGCTGCCATGCACTGGTCTGAGGACAGATTTTTCCAGAAGCGCGAGCATGAAGTGCATGTGTTGGGGGGCGGCGGCTGCACTCACCTTCATCTCCTCAGCATCCTGTAGCCTCGTCAGGTGTTCCTTTTCCTTATCTTGGAAACTGACTTCATGCATTCTTTCTGTTTTAAATTGTAAAAGATGACAAGATTTAAGCAAACAAAACCGACAACATCCTAAAACAGGAGCTTGTATCAGCAACAAGGATGGCCCATGCAGGAAGGGGGCCTCCTGACAAAGTACCAGGCAGGGCTGTGGTGGCACTTAGGTCACTTAGGCCATAGGTGGATTGCAGCCAGTGAAGGGAAAGTGCAGGCCACCCCAGAACTACATCCTGGCTGTAATGTAATGGCCTCCCCCTGGAAGCCTGTTTCCTACCTGGCCTATGGGCACCCCCCTGAGGGCATGGACATGACCAAGCCTTACAGATTATAAAGCTCCTGTGAGTAAGTGGTGACATCTGGATTTGTGCCACTGGGAGAATTCCACAAAGAGCTAATTTACCTCCCAGGGGTAAGCTGTTGATTTTCTAGGAATCTGGAGCAGGAGAGCAATCTAAAGCTAAAAACAAGGGGAAACAGAAACATATTCACATCCCAGATTCACAGGAGGCCCCAGATAGGGCAGAGCTGTTGAGAGTACTCCTGTCTCAGTGCTCCTGAGCTTATGGGGAAGGGACAGTCTGAGTAAAAGACTTGGGGAGGTGGGGGCAGGAAGCAACATCATTTAGACAGTGACATTTAATATATTATCTCTCTCTAGTCTACTTCACTTAAAAATGTTTATTTATTTTACATGTCTGAGTGTTTTGGCTGCATGTAGGTAAGTGCACACATGCATGTAATGCCCACAGAGGTCAGAAGAGGGCATTGGATCCCCTGGAACTGGAGTTATAGATAGTTGTTAGCTGCCATGTGGGTGCTAGGAACTAAACCTGGGTCCTCTGCAAGAGCAGCTGGTGTTCTTAACCTCTGAGCCATCTCTCCAACCCCACAAATCTATTCCACTTCATTTCAGGTCTTCTCACCTGTTTGCATTTCTATTCATTGGCCTCACTGTAGGAAACACATACAAGAGGGGAAATCCTTTTCTGTATCCAGAGTTTGAGGTGCATTCTATTACTAACATCCATTCCTTACCAGGTAAAGATGTTACAAACCTATACCAAGGTGGGTTTATGCTCTTTCTCTTTAATTTGCCTTTGACTCTGAAGCAAAATGTATTTATTAAGTAGAAAACTTTACATCAATATAAAGGAAATAAAATAATACTTTCATCAATCTTACTACCTTATCAAAGCACTTTGATTTTAACTATTAACTTCTAGGAACACAAGGACCCATTTGTTTTTAATAACTATAATGAAGACTTGTGTCATGATTTAACCTAACACTGCCCCATGACCATAGCTACCCACCTTCATGCCTTTTTGTCTCCACTGTGAAAAGCCCTGTCCTATTAAACTTTTACTGTTAGACACTGAGGTGGTTTCCTTTTTCCCCTTCGCTTTCCCTTTTTCTGTTTGTTTTTCAGATCTAAAATTCTGCAGTGAGGGGCAGGATAGATGGCTCAGTGGTTAAAATCACTTGCTGCTCTTTCAGATAATTCAAGTTCAGTTCCCAGCACCCACATCAGGTTGCTCACAAATTCCTGCAAGTACAGTTCCAGGACATCAGGCACCCTCTTCTGGCCTCTGAGGGCATCTGCACACATGTGCATATACACACAAATCAATCTTTATAAATTATAAAATAGAATAAATTCTATAATAAATATTTGAAATTTGAGGACAAAATTTTATAAAGAAATGATACAATTATTAAAATTGCTCTCCAAAAGGACTAATTTTCATTTCAGCCTTTAATATGAATGTTTGGATTCACACTGCACAATGTGATTTTTAAAATTTATTTATTTTATTTTTTTGAGACAGGGTCTCCCTGTAGCCCCAGCTGTCCTGGAACTCACTATGTAGACCAGGCTGGCCTTGAACTCACAGAGATCTGTTTTGAGACAGGGTCTCCCTGTAGCCCCAGCTGTCCTGGAACTCACTATGTAATCTAGGCTGGCCTTGAACTCACAGAGATCTGCCTGCCTCTGCCTCCCAAGTGCTGGGACTACAGGTGTGAGCCACCATGCCCAGCTAAAAATTATTTATTTTAATTTTGTGCGTCTGAGTACTTTGCCTACACGTATGTAAGTGCACCACATGTATGCAATGGCCATCGAGGGTGTGAGATGTCCTGGAATTGTAGGTAAGGATGGTTGTTAGCTGCCATGTGGGTGTTAGAAACTGAATCCAGTCCTCTGCAAGAGTAGCCAGTGCACTTAACTGAGCTGTCTCTAAAAATTATTTATTTTAATTTTGTGCGTCTGAGTACTTTGCCTACACGTATGTAAGTGCACCACATGTATGCAATGGCCATCGAGGGTGTGAGATGTCCTGGAATTGTAGGTAAGGATGGTTGTTAGCTGCCATGTGGGTGTTAGAAACTGAATCCAGTCCTCTGCAAGAGTAGCCAGTGCACTTAACTGAGCTGTCTCTCCAGCCCAATGCAAATTTCTCTTTCCTGTTCTAATTTCTTCATTTCTGATTGCCATGCTTGAATTTCTACTTCTGTTTTCTTGAATTTACTAAGTTCCTCCTGTGTGTCAGGTAGCTCCTAGCTAAGGGAAAGTCCTGTGCAGACTGGGTGTGGGGTTTCTCAGTAGGTGGACTTAGCCACAAGTAGAGGGCCATCGTGACAGAAAAAGTGAGCAGAGCCAGAGCGGCATCTGGCAGGCAGAAGGGGCACATTTTGGTGAGTGACTGGAAGCTGACAGGGTGGAGGAGGAAGATTTTGAGCCAGTACAGAAGGAAGACAAGAAGACAGAGATTCACACGAGAGATTCTCTTGTTTTTCTTACAGTTATGCTATTGTTCTCAGCAGATACAAAAATGCTTTAATTGAGCAAAACTAAATCTTAGAACTCCAGCCAAATGGGGACTGACTTAGGCGAAGTGTTTGACACCTGCAAAGTAGTCAATATTTACCTTGGGCTCGGAGCTTGGCCAGCTCTTCACTGAGGGAGTCCTGGGACTCTTCCAGCTGCCTCCTCTTCTGCTCCATGTTCTGCATGTAGTCTGTCAGAGATTTGATCTTGGCTTCATGCTTTGAACAAGAAAGCAGATCAGAAGGACGAGTGAGTAACTAGCAACTTGCCTAGGCTTATCTGGGACTGTTCAACAGGAAAACACATTGGAGAGACCTCACTGCAGAATAGTATGTGTTCTGCCCTTTGCCTGGGATTAAGATTTGAGGACCAAGATGGTCCTCTGCTTCTTCCACAATTCCTCGGCTTCATTCCCCAAGGATACTGCTAACAGCCATGTCCCTCCTGCTCATTCATCTCATGTGGAGACCAAAGCGCAACCTGGTTTCCTTCCTTGTGGTAAAAGCTGCTAAAAGCTAAGGGTATACCAGAGCACCTGCCTAGCATGTGCGAAGGACTGGATTCAATCCCAGCACCGTCAGGAGGGAGGGAGAGGAAGAGAAGAAAGAAAACCTGTGTTGAAGGGACTAAGAAACATCCAGGTCTGAAGACCTCATTCTTTGAACATGCACCTATGGATTCATGTTCAAATAGCACATCTGTTCCTCTTCTGTCCCTCAAACACATCACAGAGACCTTGCATCTTGTTTTCTGTCTCTGAAGAGTTTCTCTCCTTCTCACCATCTCTTTCACATAGGCACACAGTGTCCTGACTGGCTCTTTATCAGACCTCAGCATTTTCTTATAGCACTTGGCCTCTACATCATATACCATCTTTTTTTTTTCATAGTAGCTCATGAGGGTATACAGTAGCTACTTAATGAATACCAGTGGAATTAAGCAATGATTGGGTGGGAGCTCCTTGGCTAAACAGGAGCAGTAGTGGCTTCTGTGAAGATGGAATATGCAGATGTTCCCTGCTAAATCTGGGGAGCTCATGTTTAGACAGGAAGACCTTGCAGACCAAACTCTAATGACAACTTCTCCACAGCTTGGTTGTAAGCATAGCTTTGTGGGAAGAAAGTACATATAAACAAGCAAGACTGCATCTCAGCTAGAAATATTCTGTGAGTTTCCTTAAACCACATCAGGAGATAAAGAGTAAAGGTTCCTATTAGTTTTAAACGTCTAAGAAATGCCTGAACCAATGGCGTCTATAAATGACAGTGGAACACAAAACAGTCTAATAGAAAACTGCACTTGTTGCTGCTCAGATGTAAGACTTCAAATCTTGGTCTCCAATACTGTAGTGCCCACCTGTAGCAAAGGGAGACAACCAGCTATTGTTCTAAAATGATGGATAGATTTGTTTTATTCCCCTATCTGGAAGTCTTTGAGAGGGAACTGACACTGATTCTAACCACTCCAACAGCTATCAAAATACCGAAAGCAAATCCTGAATCCATTACTCTAGAGTCCAGCCTTGGAAGACAAACGAAAAATGAGAGAAAGCCAATAGAGGGATGCTTTTGGAAGCCCTTGTCAAGAAAATCCAATGGACTCTCATGTGAAAATTTGAAAATTACCTTGTTCTGACTTTTTTCTGGTTGTCCATCTAGAACTTGTAAGGCATTCTAATTACTCTTGCCTTTACTTCTCCTTCACATCTCCTATTCATGATTCAAGGACTTTCTTTACCCCTTAGAGATAAGATTTATGCAATATGGGAGTCCTTTGGAAGTGATGGGGAGATATGGGAGATGTTGGAGGGGAAGGAGTGGGCATGGATTTGATCAAAACACCTTATATGCATGTATGAAATTCTCAATAAAGTTTTTGTAAAAGTTAAAAAAAGAAAACTGTACTTGATGCCGATGTGGAAAGAATTTCCTAAGTCCCTAAGGAATCCTAATATCTAGTCAGAGTCACTCTGAGGCCTGGACCCCACACTTTAGAGTGCTCCTTAGCCACCCCTAACCACTCCACTGAGCAGAGTTCAAAGGTCCAGGGAGCATGCACACAGGGCCCACATCCACATCTAGAGCACACTCTGAGCCCTGGAGGCTAAGGAATGTCCTTGTTCAGGGGCTCTGAGGGCTGCACTCCCTCTTCTCATTCATATACACAAGGCACAGCTGACCTGACCCCAATGGTCATTAGTTCAGGGGGTGCAGGAGGGGCTTGGGGGTAGAGCAGGTATATCCAGCTAGACATAGAGGTGCTGGGCTGCAGGCTGCAAGGCTCTGCTTGTTGCTGGCCTCAGCCCCCAAATGTTAGGAGCAAGACTACCCTAAGTCATACTGTTAGCCTCAAAGGTGACCTAGAAATTAGATTAGCGTTATACCATCCCTATTTATCTTTTTTCCTCAATTTTTACAAATTATAAAAATGTCTTGTTGCAAATAACAAGGTATAAAAATCATAAATTATAAAATATAGAACAAATCTACAAAGAGTAGGATGAACATCTACAAACCACTCTATCTTTTAAAATAATTTTAAATTAATTACTTTTATGTAAATGAGTGTATTACCAGCATGTATGTAAGTACACCTGCAATGCCCATGGAAGCCAGAGGAGGCATCAGACCCCTTCGAACTAAAATTATAGATGGTTGTTGGCCACCACATGGGTGCTGGGAACTGAACCCGGGTCCTCTCGAAGAGCAGCCAGTGGTCTTAACCACTGAGCCATCTCTCCAGCCTCCAAACCACTCTATCTTATCAACTAAGGCATATTTTACAAAGATTAAAACCACATGGATAGAACTTGGAATTTTTATATTTACTTTATAAATATATATTATAATTTATAAATATATATATATTTATTATATATATTTAACTTTATAAAATCATATTTTCCAAATGTGTAAGTTTTATGAATTTTTAAATAAGAGCTACATAATATTCTTCCATGTAACTTCATTATTTGTCTATCAATAGAGATTTGGTTAATATAGTCATTATAATGTAAAATAGTACAGAAAACAATCTGTACATAAACTTTTAATTTTTTAAATCAGGAAATGTTAATATCATATGATATTTAGAATTTTCATTTCCGTTACCAATGAAAAATAGTAAAAGTGAAATTATTGGACCAAAAGGTACTTGCAGGTCAGGGAGATGGCTCAGAGAGCAAAGTGCTTGGTACCAAACATGAGGACCTAAGTCCCTGAATCCTGATCCCCAGAATTCACAAAAAAGCCAAGCATGATGACATGTGCCTATAACCCCAGTGCTAGAGGGAGACAGAGACAGATGGATCACTGGCCAGTCAAGTCAGAACACAGGCACCAGGTTCAGTGACAGACCCCGTGCCAAAAATAAGATGGAAAGCAATAGAGGAAGACATCAAAAGTCTACCTTTGACCTCCACAGGCACACACAAAGGTGATCGTATGTACACCGACACAGACACAGACACACACAGACACACAGACACACACACACACACACACGCACACACACACAATATGCTTACATTTTTCTGGTATTATATAGCCAAAGTTTCTAAAAGAGATGACTAAATTACATTTTTATCATGCATCACCATCACACACATAGTATCATTGAATACCCTTTTAATACATTTTACTTATTATGTTAATTATAAAAAAGAACCTGGAAAATCCATTTTAGATAATTAGGCTGGAGATGTTTCTACATATTAGTATGTTTAAGGCCATACCAGAATGTGGTGTACTTTTGTCTGTCTCTTGGTATTGTTTGACAAGCTAATCCACACTGGGATCTGTTTCTCCAAATGACTGTTATAAGAGAATATGTAGTATACACTTGAACCATATCACAAATCTCAAACCCAAACAGCAAGCTCACACATCAGTGATAGCGCAGAAACATGTTGTCTTCTCAAATATCTACCTACAGTAAAAACACCATTCAATGGGAAAGAGCAGCCTTCTAACGCAAAGGAAACATGCCCTTGAGCTTGAAGAAGCCACGAAGACACAAGCTTTGGGTTCACACATTTTGGGTTGTGTCCCAGCTCCACCACCAAGTTGTTGAACAGTATTTTTAGTCACAATCACATTGTCTTTATTTGAAAAAACAAAAAGAAGAAAACCTACCTACAGAATTTTTTTAAGACCAAGTACCAAAATGCACGTGAACACATGGTAAACAACCAAACTGTGTCTCTTACAACCATTAACAATAGCACTTTCTCTTTGCCCATCTTAAATTGTGCCAGTGGTAGGGATTCAAAGATAGGAATGTTGCCTTAGCTAATAGGAAGTTTAGAGACACATTATTTGTACCAATCTATATAGCCATCCATAGGTGGACAGAGAAATAGACATATACCCTTTGAAAAGAGAAAAGATGAAAGGGATTCATGCAATTCACACAACAAAATCCAGCCTTAAAAATAAACCTGGAGGCCAGGGACAGTGCCACATGTCTAACATTCCACAGCCTGCAAGAAGCTAAGGCAGGAGCATCATGAGCTCAAGGACAACCTAGGCTACATAGTGAGACCTTGTCTCACAGACAGACAGACAGACAGACAGACAGACAGAGACAGGGACAGTGAGCTAGAGAGTCACAGAATATGAACAAACATAAGCTGTCACTGCCTGACAAGACCATACTACATAAAGCAAAGTGCTTTGATTCTCCCTAGCATACACCATCAGCCTCAAAAGGGCATGGAGGGAGCAGATTTCAAGAGGAGATGGTGAACTGAGAGAGAAGGGCAGCCCACCTGGGAGATGAGCAACTGGCATGCTGCCAGCTCTCGCTCACTGGCGTTCATCTTCCTGTTAGAATCCATCTGGGCACTCTCCAGCTGTTTGCTGCGGTTCACCAAGGACTTGACCTCTGACTTCATCTTGCTAATATACAGGCGGGCCATGGTAAACTCCTCTTCAATGACTCCATTCACATCTGCCAGCTGAACACAGGAGGGAACATACTTACACATCACCTGTAATTCCCAGAGATGTCCCTGGATTTCTGGCAAAGTGTCTAATCATAGGGCAACTTCAAAATGATCTCTGAAAAGTCCTACACAGTCAATCTCAAGTTCTCTGAGATTACATGTGACCTTCTAATTGGAAACCACTACAAATATAATCCTCAATTAACCAGATGTTTCATTATAATTGATTTTTAGGATAGAAAGGATTACATCGGAAGAAAACTTACTAAAGATTTTTTAAAGGAGATAACTTTTCAAACATTCGGTGCCTTATACCTTATGTGTCCATAATAGTGAGACCCATTGTTCGCATAGGTGGCCCTTAATCCCCATAGAAGCCCCAGACAAAATTTCAACTACTTTCTCCACAGTTAGAGACATAGCCTAATGCCTGGAATGTCTCTATGTACAATGGCTGAAATTTTAAAGTCCTTCTCCATAGTCTTCAAACAGAACTTCTGATGCATGGGAATGCACCATTCATTCCAGAGTTTCCTCTTGATATAGGTTTCCCTGCTTGACTATCCAATGCTACCAATCTGTGTTTCCTTGCCTGTTTATTACTTAAGATCATATGGGAACTATAGCCTAAATTTATATTTAGAAGATATGATTCTGACAGACAGAATTACTGAATGATCTATATTGGCTTCTAAGTTTCAGAGCTCCACGAAAAATTCAAACAAGATTTTTTTGGGTAGAAACCCATGTGTAGAGATAGTCATTCAAATCTGAGCCAAGGAGCAAGGAGGTATGTGTGAATTCATTTGACCACCAGAGGGCAGCCTAGCACCTTCGGTAGACCTTTTATTGTTCTATCAGGATCCAACTCCAGAACACCAGCTTCCAAACTCCAACTCTGGTTTCTGATGTTCCACAGTGCACTCTAACTGCCAGCTGTGTCACCATCGCTGTCATTAACTCATCATGTATTTTATGTGTGTAAACATTTGAGACCTGGTAGAAAATGGTATAGGGTATAAGCCCTGAAAATAGTAGATGGCTGAAAATATAGAGCTCGCTAGACAGTGCTGAGTGCCTGTAATGTGGTGTCAACCTTCACCTAAGAATTCAACAATAATAACGACTCCAACACAATGCTGAACTAACAGCAACTATCAGCTATGGCTCTCCCCTCATGGAGGCCCTTGCTAAACTAGTTGTTTGTGGCTGTCCAAGATGTGCTCACCAACACTGCTCCTCAGGCCACTCCTCTCATTATGCAACAGCATGGAAACACTGATTGGAAATGGCTTTGCAGACTTTCTCATGGGTCCAGCATGGACAAGAATGACTAAGAATTCAATGATCTATAAGTAAGAGGTATCAGTGAAATCACCACAGGCACCCAAAGTCTAGAATCTAAAAATAATCTCAAAAATACCCAACTGAGTATTTAAAAATACTCTCAGTCATACTTCTGACTCCCAAAGGTAAGGACTCTTTAATGCCAAAGCACAGACACACTTTGATTTCATTAGCATGTTCAGCAGCTCTATTTTAGAACTTAGTATAAAAATACCTTCCTCGGGACAAGAGCGATCCATCTGCATGGTTCTGGGAGACTAATGATTGATTCTAATAGACAGCTAGGGGAACTAGTGTCCTCCAAGTCTGGACTCACCCTTTAAAACTCAAAAACAAAACAAAACAAAATAAAAAACACTGTCCTTCACCGTTATCAGCAGCAGGCACCAACTTCCCATAAATCAACTCCATCTTTGTATTATGAGGGCCCTTTAATCAACCCAGGGTCAGAATTTTAATGCTCAATACCAACATATGGCTCTAAAACTTAAATCCTCAAATATAAAATCACCAAACTGGAACTTAATAGGATTAACCCTATAAAGCCTGAAAAGTCTGTGCTAATATTACATTCATTCATAAGGACTCATGAAATATCCCATTACAATCAAGGTTCCATGAAAAAACAATATTTATAGACACTCCTGTACGCTCAGTCTGGACAGCTTCCAAGGGCAGCTGTCTGTCTGTGAAATGAGTTACAAATGGAAACCTAATTTGGTTTTTTTTTTTTTTCAGTGCTAACCATACCAAAGCACTAATGTTATGATTCAGTCTTGTAAAGATAAACGGGTAAGTTAAAAACTTCAGTTTTCAGGATTTGTGAGCTGGAAATTAAGAAACATCATCCCCCAGCTCCATATAATCAATACGTTTGCCAGTGACTAGTCCATACCAGGTGCTGTGTCATTATAAAGCCCTGCTCACCAAAAGCATAAACCAGAACCGAGGGGTACTGAGGACATACTGTTGGGGCTCATGGGCTTGTTCACTATCTTCAGAGCCCTGACAGCTTTAGGCACAAACACATCCATCACACTGCTTCAAATGCATGAAGCTGACTACATGTAATACATACCAAAAACTATTTTATAGTATTTCCTATTTTTCTGGTTAATACCAACAGTCTCTCCCATGGCCAGTCGCTAGTATTCTTGGCTAATGACATCTAATTCTCTGCTATCTCTCCCCTGCCCCTGCTCTGGACTTTGGACTGCCCTATTTTTTTTTTTTTTTTTTTTTTTTTTTTTTAAAAAAAAAAAAAAAAAAAATTTTTTTGTAGCCACCTCTCTTACTTCCTTGCCATCAGGAGTGCTAATGTGCACAACTCCAGAATGTCAGCCTGTGGTGGTAATCCTAGACTCCTTTGCCTTCCCAGCTTCCCTTGCAATTTGATGTGGTCCATAAGACTGAAGTCTGACCAACCAGTATAAGGCTACATGTACTGGGAGTTTCTGACATATATCCCTGGAGAAACAGAGCCAGTGTTTCAGACCCTGCTACCTTAGATGTGGTTGAGTGACGATGTAATGATTGGGGCTATACCATTCATCTTGCTATATGAGGCAAAAATGAAAAGTTATGAAACTGAAATCAGGCTGAGAAGAGCAGAAAGGAGATAGAATGGCTGGCCCTCAGCTGGATTGAGCCACTTCACGCAACCAAAATGTGTTTCTCAAAATTTAGAAAGCATTAAGAGTCACCCGGAGAAGCTTGTTAAAAACAGATTCTGCTTCAGTAAGTCTGTGGTGGGGCCCTGGAGTCTGTATTGCTAATAAGCCCCAGGTGAGCCAGATAACGCAGAATAACAAGAACTCCTGCCTTCTTCTGCTGTAAATAATTAAATGTGGCTTCCTCCTTAAGCCACTGTTTAGCCTCCCATTACTTTAAAGCACTCCTAATTCATACTAGTTGTCTGTAGACGTCTCTCTACACTGGTTCTTATGAAAAAGGAAAAACAACTGAGACTAGAGCTGCTGCTTACAGTTTCTGACTCCCAACTTTGGGGACACCACAAATATGTTCAAGGAGAAAGTCAAGTACATAACACCAGCCAACATTTGAAGACACTCCTTAGATTTGAAACGCAAATTATTTCTCTCCTCCTCCTGAAATCAGTCCTCCTTTCACTTCCCAGCATGTGGCCTGTGCAAAGCACAACCCTGAGCCTCCCATACTGCAAAGCCTATAACTCAGATCACACCACAGCACAGTCAGAGCTGGTACAGAGGACAGAAGGCTGGCTCACGGTCTTCACGTCGTTGGTGCCGATAATTCCACCTATCTCTCCCAGGTCCTTTAGCAGCAAGTTCAGGATCTCTGTAGCCCTCTTCTTCTGGTGATTACTAAGTTCTTGCAGCTGACTCAGCTCTCGCTGTGTGGTTGTCAGTGTCGTCTGAAACACAAATGCCAACCACAAGTCACCAAGGCGGCCCATCAACTTCAAACCTGCATCCTCTCAAAGATCAATAGCCCATGTGACTGAGCTCGTAGACAGAGCTGATGTTTTATATCTGTACACCAGTTAGCAAAAAGGTTATTAAAAATAAAGCCAGGACCAGTGAGATGGTTCAGCAGGTAAAGGCACCTGCTGCTAAACCTGAAAATCTAAGTTCAATCCCTAGGACCCACGAAGTAGGACAGAATTGACTCCTGCAAATTGTCCTCTGACTGTCATATGTGTACCATGGAGTATACACACACACACACACACACACACACACACACACACACACACAC